ATATGAGTGATACATAAATTTGAAATTACTTTTTAAGTTTTGTTGAAACCCAACAATCATTACATTATCTTGTAATATTTTAATTTAAGAATTGAATTCCAACTTGTATTTTTTTGGATCAAATGATTAAATGACAAGAAACCAAATTAATACTTCTAAAAATTGAGTACTCTCATACAACTTGAAAACATTGCAGGTAATTTCAGTGTTATCATGCTAACTATCAAAATTATCATTCCTTTCGATATAAAACTAAAATTTAAGATAAAAAAGAGAAATTTAAAATGGACGATTTTTTCAAAACATCCACAAAACCATTTATTGTATATTGATTAAAAAGCTTTTCATGAAAATATCAGAAACATGAAATGGATTTGTATTTCAGGAGAAAGCAGAAAAAGTCTCAATTGAAATTATTGGCATAACTAACCGGATTATTATAATCCCTGAAATATTTCCCTGGAATTGCTAAAAAAACAAAAAGAAAAAAAAAGTTGAGACACTAAATAAAATGAGGAGTTTTAGTGATGCATTTTAAGCTTTAATTTTCTTCGAATCGCTTTTTGATAGACTATTTGTTATTATTACTATTTTTCATTATTAATATTATCATTATTATTATTATCATACATTTTGATTTTATTTAGTTTATATAAATATAGCTGGGATTTGTCAACTTTTAAAACAGAATTCTAAAGAATTCATAATTTGCTTGGTTAAATTCACAACTGTAATTGCAACCTTTTCATCAATTAAAAAGTCATCATTAACCTGAAAAGTGATTTTATTCTCTTCTAGCAATGACACGGATCATCGAACATCACATACAAACATATTTTTGTCTTCATTATGCTTCCTGTTGTCTATTAAACATTTTTCTTATTTTATCGAAAGTGGGGAAAATTAAGTCTTCATTATGCTTCCTGTTGTCTATTAAACACCTTCCTTATTTTATCGAGAATGGGGAAAATTAATTGCGAAAATTTCTGAACGATAAAGAAATTTTTAAAGAACCGAAATCAAAAGATTCAATAATTATTCATCAGTTTGTGACGACAAATTGTTCAAACTTATAATGAAAATTGAAAGCAATAATTAATCATTTTCAGTTTGTTTTTTTTCTTTTGCATTATTAATAACAATAGTGCAATCACAAACTAACTTTAACTTTACTTTCATAATTTTCAATCGTTTTAAATTCTTTCCAGCAATAAAAGCTGCCATTTTAATCCAAAAATGGTACAGACGTTGCATGGCACGTTTAGAAGCACGACGTCGTGCAACGTGGAGTATATTCACAGCATTGGAGTATGTCGGTGAACAAGATCAATTAAAGGTGACTTAATTCTTTTTCGAATTTTTTTTGAAAAATAAGATCAATCTGTTGCAGTTGTACAATTTTTTCAGCGAACTAATCGATACATTGAATGAAACGAAAGATAATTTACATCGTTGCACCTCACTAGCACAAGGTCGGTATTTTTAGAACTATCGTGAGACAAAGTGAAGAGATTAAACTAAGAACAGAGGAAGAGGGAAGAAGAAAGCTTTCAGTTGATAACATTGAAATTAGAATTTCAACTCGTGATTTCAAATCTGCTAGCATATGTAGCAATTTAAAAGGTCTTATTGAAATTTTACATTTTATGGTAATTTTGCCTTAATTCTTATTTTATTACTTTATTTCTTTTTCAATAAACTAAAATGAATTATAAAATTATGGCAAATATTAATTTCAGCTTTATCGCAACATACCTCATCAACAAGTATGATATTTTAAAAGGAAATTAATTATTTTTTCTCCCAATCATTTCCATTTTTTTTTGATCACGCAATAAAAAAAGGAGAAATTTTTGTTAAATTCATAAGAGTTAGAGAAAAAAAAAGGATAAAAGATCACAATTAGTAGTAAAATTATATATGAAATTAAATTTTTCATAATTTTACATACATTCCCTTAATGGATGAAAATTTCTATATCATATTAATACGATAAATAATAGCAAATGAAGCATCGGATGAAAAAAAATTACTGGAAATGACTCAGCCGGAATCATTCAAAATCGAAAAAGGCTACAAAGGTCCCAATATTTCACTGCCACTCAAAAAAATTCACATTGATCAAATGATGGATGCTTTCAAAAATAATAAAGTAAGCACAATTTGAACACAATAAGCCATCGAATTCTTTTTTTTTTGAAAAATCGATTACCATTCGAGAAAAAGACAGCTAAATGTTCAACTTTTCATTGGAATTAATATTATAATTAAATGTGAAATTTATTTTAAACCATTTCAAGTTTCAGCGATGACTAACGCATACATGAATTTTATAACTTAAATGATGTAAATGTTAGCTTCTAAAATGTTTAAAATCAATTAAAAAGAGAGAAAAAGGTGAAATTTTAAGTAAGAAGAAAGTTTTAAACCGTGACTTTCTCATTTTTCACTGTAATTTATCAATTAATTTCCAACAAACATATATGTATGTGCATTTATGCTAATTTGCAGTTAATAATTAAAAAATAACCACTATCATTTTATAGATAATGCATATCAGTTACATATTATTAATATTACATGAAGCTCGACGGGTATTCAAAGCGCTTCCGACAGTTGTTGAAATATCAACATCACTTTCAAAACAAATTACTGTCTGCGGAGATTTGCACGGAAAATTCGATGATTTATCCATTATTCTCTTTAAGGTGTATCCTTATAATAACTATTCCTAACAATAATGATTAATAATAATAATAATAACAATAATAATGATAATAATAATAATAATAATAATAATAATAATAATAATAATAATAACAATAGTAATAATAATAATAATAGTAATAATAATTATTATTATAATTATAATTATTATAATTATAATTATTTATAATAATAATAATAATAATAATAATTATTATTATTATTATTATTATAATTATAATTATTATAATTATAATTATTTATAATAATAATAATAATAATAATAATAATAATAATAATAATAATAATAATAATAAT